GTCCTTTCTTTGTGTTCCAGTACTGTAGGCAGAGGTCGTTCAGTGGACCACAATATGACATCAGAACATTGTCAAGGTTTTTTTTTTTTTTTGGGGGGGGGGGGGGATTACCTTACATTTTTCACTCTCAATCTTTGACATCAGAATTTATTTTTTATTTTCAGACCTGCATGATAATCCACAATCCTACATGTCAAAATGACATGTAGGATTAAATGACAAGGGACTAAATTCTGCATCTACATCCTGAACATTTAAACTGTGAATATCCTACCCTTCCCATGACCCCTGACCTCCTCCTTACTGTATGTAGGTTATAGCAGCAGCTGCCGCTCTTTGAGTTGCAATACTGCCACCTATTGGCCTAGTCCCCACTATACTGTATATGTATATCTTTTTAGAAACATTCCCAGATATTACAAAAAAGGAAGAAACACAAATAACCCAAAGGAAATAATTCAATATAATCTACAAAAACTTTTTTTTTTTTAATGTCTGACATTAATATTGTATACATATTGTAACATAATATGGACCACATGTCAGAAGACATCTGTGTTACAGATGCCTGGATACATTTGATCTTCTTAGAGTCTACAAAAATATTTTCTTATATTTTTGAGAGCGTCTGAGGCTCACGTCATGAACCCTTCAAGGTCAACTCCAAATATTTTGGGAGGTAGTTCACCCCCCCCTGTACATTCTGACCTCTAAACTGTATATTCAGTTGCACATACTTTTAATAAACTTCCTCGCCTTCTTCTCCAGGGCTTCATCAACAACTTTTTTTAATCCTTTCCAAAATCTAATAATAATAATAATAATTGAAACTTCATAGGAATTCTTCTGATTAACAAGGGGCAAATATAGCCGGATTATTATTGGAGTCCAGAGGGACTTAGCACTCATATGAGGCGTTCTCACATACCGTGGTCAAATTGGAGCCGTGACCCACATTTCAAACAATTTAGCCATGAGATTAGGTATTTGTGCACTTCAAAGGAAGTGAAGAATGTATGGCATCCCCGTCTGCAGTGGCGCTCGCACGTGTCCACATCAAAGTTGGTGGCACACTGGGCCACATGTTTCTATGGGAACGGTAAAGGTGGCGCGCAGATGGTTTGGATTGTTCTTCTCAGAACATTGGCAGATGGTTTGGATTGTTCTTCTCAGAAGAAATCCCTCCTTTTCTGCGATTTCAGTATCTTCAGCTCACAGTGGTGGAGGACAGATGATCCGGTTATTGTCAACATTGGGTCTCGTTGATCCACCTTTTCTGTCTGACTTTTGTTAATTTTTTTTTTTACTCTGTCTCAACTCTGACACGGTGACTCTGTCTCTGTTTTGTCTCCTGATCCTGATCTGGGCTTGTTTTTTTTTTCTTGATGTTTACATTTATTAGACATAAAAAAAAAAAACAACAACCAGACAGAGGCAGACGAAAAGGGAGAGGATCTGGGAACCAGTGGGTGGATGGTTGTAAATCTTGCTGTGCAGTTTGCGTGGGAGACTGACCACAAGAGAAGCAGTGTGTCGTGAAGCCTCGACATGATGTTCAGTCAGATCCAAGGATACTGTCACTTTCTATCGCCCTCAACATCGGTCTTAGTGCTCTGTGGCCCAGTGAGAACTGCAAGATATAAATACTGTTTCTTTGTAGCTACACTGTCTTCTGGGGTTGTCCTGAGGCAAAAGCATCGCTGATCTACAGAACCAAATATTATTTATTACGTTTTTTGTGTTTTATTTCTTCTGCTCCATTAGGCCTCTATCACTGACAGTTTGTCGGTCTGTTAGCGTGTTGATTTGCAGTATCTACAAGGAAACCCGCTGAAGGAGATCGTGGAATGTCATTTCAGATGATGCGCTAGTGCAGTGGTTCCCAAACTTTCTTTGCCGGGCTCCTCTTTGGTTCATAAGAAAATTTCCGTGTCCCCCAACCAAAAAAAAAAAAAAAAAACAGGACACACATCGATGCTTCATCCTCCGCTTTGCGTTGTCGTGGCTGCGTCATCAAAAACGTTTCCATTTTATGCTAGCATTGGGAACTTTGA